AATAAGTCCTGTTTGATTATTTTTGATTATTTTTGTTTATATTTCATAATTGGCAGTCTCAATAAGTCCAATTGTTAGTTTATTTCATTAGGCATCAATAATCGTTCAACGTTCTTGATTGTCCAGATAATTGTCGGGATTGTTGTCCTCTCGATAATCGTTACGTGTATTAATATTAAAATGTTCGTAAGACAATATTCGTTTACTTACACAAGAAACTAATTTTGGAATGATTATCACGTAGGAAATTATGGAAAGAAATTCATGCGGAAGTTAGGAGTAAAAATTACGGAATTGAAGAATTTAATGCTACTACGGTATAGCGATCCACGGGTTTGACCCGTGGGTGACCCGGGTCCAACCTCATTACGCATTGTGAACAAAAGACTTGAGAAAATGTATTATGATTACGGAAATACTTGAAACAACGTATTGATGACGATGAATTTCGGTCATATATATGTACAAATTCGGTCACGAACTGCAAATATCGCATGCTTTTTCTGCCTTCCCTTCTTTCTTGTGACACCAAAAGCCACTGTATTAAAAAGATCTGTTTTGACCTCCATTTTTCAAATAAAAGATTTAAAAAAAAAATCCAGCCGCATTGTTAATTTGTAATAAAATTCCTATCACTTTCCATCTACCACGATGAAGGTTATTCATCTTGCCTGCCTTCTACTATGCTTATGTGGGATTGTAAATGCTGGCTTTACACATTATTGGTGTGTAACAAAACTAAGTGAAGGATGTAGAAACGACAATAATGTGTGTTCTAGAACAAAAGATTGTAAGAGAGGAACTTTTTATAGATGGGACGATTGGCCTTTGTGTATGTGGCGTGGTGGCTCTGGAAATGAAAAAGGTGGAAGCGAAACCTGGAAAGCTTTTGCTAAGTGTTGTAGAAGCTATGACAAAGGTGGCGCGTGTTATAGTAATGAGTAATCTCTTGAACCACCCCCCTTTCAGCATATTGCATTACCATCATATAATCTTTGGTTTCAGATCTGGAGTAATTCCATATAATCGAATAAAATTTTCCCCTCCTTTTAGAATTTATAATGTGTTTGAGTTTATAAATTAAAATAAAATTATTATAAATTTATGTTAAAAAAAATTAAAAAATAAATGTATTATCGCATTGACAAATTCATCTGGAAATTTTTTAGAATCTTTTAGTTGCTTAACTACTGTTTTTATTGGTTTTTTATTTTCGTAATGAGACCAAATTGCGGAATATACCTCTCCAAATTCATCTTCTCCAATTTTCCAAAAATCAGTTTTTCATAAGATGTTCATTCAAGAAATTTATTATTGGGATGTTTAGCTTCAAGTTAAATATTTTTAATTAAATTATCAATTTGCAGATTTTCACTTGTTTATTCTTTGTTATATAAATAAAAGCTATTTTTATAAATAACAAAATAGAGATAATTAAAATTTAATAAATACTTTTGAGAATTTGAAAATAAATAAAATAATAATTTTTATTTTGTAAATAATATTTTATTTCAAAATATATACTTAAAGTATTAAAATAATAGTTTATTATTTTTGTTTTTGATATATTTTATTTTTTAGTTAATTTAGTCTTTAATTATTTTTGAGAATTATTATATTTTGTCTTTAGTTTTATAGTGATTATTATAAGTATCTAGAATTTGGTTTTTTAGATACAAATTCACGAAAATTCATTTAAAACATATAAAATTTTATATATATATATAATATAGAATATGAAAAACAAGTTTATTTAATATTATAATATATTTAAATTAATAAAATTTTGCATAAACTTATGCTAAAAATTGCAAATTGAAACATTTAAAAATTAATGAGAATAATAAAAGAATGAATTATACAAGAACTGGAATAGATATCATAGTAATAAAAAAGTGATATAGTCAAATTTTTTTATAGTCATTACCTTTAGAAAAGCAAAATTTGGTAATTATAGAGAGAATATGATTATAGAGAGATTTTTTATTATATTTATATGTAAATAGAAAAGCAAAATATGATAACTATAGAAGAATGTGATTATAAATGAATGTGACTATAGAGAGATTTGATTATAATTTAAAATATTATATAAAAATTCTTATTAGTTATAATATTCTATAATTCATAATATATTTAGAAAATCAATTTACAAATTATTAGAATTTTTTTATATTTTTAAATAATACTAATACTAATAAAAATATAAATTAAATTTATAATATTATTATTTCTTATTTTGAATTAAATGAATAATGAATACAATATATTTATATAATGTAATAAATATTATTTCATATTGTCATCATTTTCAGAGTTATTTCTTATGATGATATTTCTGAATATGGTGAGTGACTGTGTTCAATTGAAAAATTGGACTACTGAACTATCAAAACTTATAATTTAAATATTGCTACCATTTCTAGTTCTTACGTATGAAAATATTTAGAAATGGTTAACAGTGACTGTGTTCACGGTAGATTTTAAATAAGAGAGATATAAATGACGAAAGTGGATGGTTGACAATAATAAACTAACAAGAATACGAATATAAGATGGATGTTTAAATGTGTTTGAATAATAAAACAATACTAAAACTAAATATACGCTATTAATCCAAGTTAGA